ATAATTCTTGTGAGGAGTTGCAATATTACATACTTCCATTTCTGTGAAAAATCCTTCTCAATATTAGAACAGAAAGATTATATTGAAACACCCAGAGAAAATTGTTCAGATGAATGACAAAAAGGATATTAAAGGTTTTCTCTATTCAAATATTAAAAACATTAATTTGTGTGGTGCATCTATAGTAATAACTCAGTAAATATTTTTGTCTAAACAGTGGCCACTCTGGAAATGTATTGTACCAATAGTTGTCAAAAATACTTCTAATCAAGGTGAAGATATTGAAGGTGTTGCGTTAACGCAAGTGTTATAAGAAATATTAATACATTTTTATTTAAGGAATCATTTCAGTTATCTTAGTATATCTAAATTTTTATTTGTAATTATCTTTCATTAATTTAATGTAAATAAATATATATAATTTATGATTTTTAAAGAAAGAATTGTATAATTTTAGTTATTAATTACTGTTGTGACGCGCTTTTGAATATTTTATAGAAAAAGCGCAATACAAATAATAAATGTTATTATTATTGTTACAGATCAAAATATTTTCAGCACAGACTGAATAGAGGTAATTTTTTGGAGAGCAGAACACCCTTAACACAGAATAATTAATGCACCATTAAGATAGAAAGTGCTGTTAGTTGAAAGCTTTATCAGTATAGTCTTTATTTCCTTTCTATGTAAATTAGAGTCTAAAAACGAAGTTTGGTAAACTTATCATCAACGTGGGCATTTCTGTAATCACCAAGGTTCACCCTGTACTTTTAAAAGCAAACGACAGAGTCACACTGGTCATTTAAGCCACGAAGATCAATATATTCACAATGTAAACAAATACAGCTTATGAACTAAATGTCACATATTAAAAGCAGAATTTTCACGAAAAGACAGGTGAAGGCCCTATTTCTGAACGGGGATATTATCCAAATAATTTTTGAATAATAAATAATAATAAATAAAATCTTATACCGCTGCGATCAAAAGGTGTTAGAAAAATTGAGACGTGTATCAACTAAGAAAAACACAATTACCCAGACCAAACTTACGAGAAAAGGAAACAAGTTAACTGCTTCATAAATTTACTTAGAAAAACCATTCTCTTGGGATCGAGAAAAATACTCTAATTAAGCAAAAGTTGTTTCCTTTAAGTTTACACTTCACCTCAGTGAAACCAAAGAAAGAGAATGAGGATTCTACGCTTGTAAACTTTTCGTTACACCTGCGTCTTAAAATGATGGATCGGCTACTGTTTGTTTTGACTTTTTACAAGGTTTACGAAATTCAGGGACTTACCTTGTGTTCGAGTAAAATACACGTTAAGACTTTCAAACAAGTCTCCACTCCAAGAAGTTCTAAGGGAATGTGAATGGGGAAGTCTACAAGCGAAAATCGGTTCGATTCTGGCATTGCAAAGGTCAAAGGAGAATAAATCTCAGGCGAATGAAGTTGAACCTCAACACGAGTTTTCCCGGGAACGGGTGCTTGTGCAAGAAACAGGCGCTGAATCCACGTCTCCACTTCTTCCATATCTCGAGCCAAATGACTTGCTCTTTGGTCCCCTGTACGAGTAAAAACAGGCCAGCTATTTAAGTCTGGTATGATGTTGTCGTTCTTGTCACATTTTCTGTTAATTCCAGTTCTCGAGTCGATCATTTTTCGAAGGTAAAACAGGCGCTCCCTGAATGGTGGGAAGAACGGATAATGCGAAACGAGATGTACAAAGATGTGAGACTCATACAAAAATTCCGCTTGTTGTGGTTGCTTCGAGACCTTTTCCGAACTGTCAGCAAAGTCTCTTTGCAATCGCTTCGCTCCTTGTTGTCGAAATTCGAACAAGGACGAAAAACATTGACACAAATCCCATAGCGGACCCTACCAGAGTCTTTCTCAGTCAATGTAAACGCAAACGAGTTCGCCTCGCGGAGAGAAAATTTCTTCGACACCGTACTGCATCCTTCCGGCTGACAAAAGAAAACCACGTCTCCAGGTAGGGGAAAATCTTTATGGTCCTTTTGTGGAAAACGACGTAAAAGCTCCGGCGTTTGTGTTGAGTCGATGGTCGGCTTGCGTACACCGACAACAACAAGATAATCTATCAGTCTTGTCTGCATGGCGTGCGAACTTGAGCACATCGTTGTTGGTTATTTAAGTCTCGAACAAGACTTTATCATGCACAATATCCTCATAATGGTAATTTTCACGGCCAGTTACAGCCAAATCCATTCAGACGGATATTTTGAACGCGTAAATATCGTGTGAGAAGGCAACCAGGCGTGATCGGTAGAATTCTCGATTTGTTCACGCGTGATAACGCGTTTCTTCGCATGTTATGACGTCACGATCATCAAGTAAATAAATATTTCATTTTTTGTCCGCTTTTTTCATCGGGGATAACGCTCAACTCTTTGAAGTGACACGAATTTATGCCAATTTTCTTGTGTTAAGTTTAACAAATTCTGTGACACAATACGCGAAAAAATATGTTGCGGGTGAGGGAAGAGATTCGTAGAAGTGAAAAGTTTTACTTAACGATTTCGAACAAATTAATCAACATTTTTATTTCAACCAGTTTGCCCTAGGCAAAGACAAATATAATTCATATGTGCTACCAACAATACAGTTCTATCAATCATTTATTTCGGAGTCATTTCGACGAGGCTCAGTTCAGGCCCCAAAGATCATACCTTTGACTGACGCGAGTCAAAACTAACATATTTATTGGTTTCTACCTTTAATTAAACATATTACGAATCGGATAAAACACTTCCCGTAGCTGGCTTTGCGTACTCATACCTGCACGACCCTTCTTTACCGTGGAGGTCTGGATATAAGACAAGAAGTCGCCAAACCAGATCAAACATGAAAGATCGGTGAGACGCTAAAGAACAAGTGACCAGCAAATATCTCTGTCGTTTGACTTTTATTTGAGCACCTTGAAATAATTCCAACTTTTAAACAGATTTCTAAACTGCCCCGTTCATGGCAGCAACGAGCTACTTGTAAGGTCTGGTCATTAGAAACTTCTGTGGGGCACTTTTTAAAGAGTGTGGTCGTAAACCAAACAAGAGGAATCGGAATGGCCAATAAAGATTATGAAAATAAAAAAATAGCTCGAAGAGCCAATGTCGACCCGAAGTAAAAATAAGAATGAGCCGATACTTTGAAATCTGACAGGTTGAATGAGTGGGGCGAGTTTTCAAAACCAATAATAAGGCGGAGAAAAGGATCAGTCTGTACTCAAGCCGAGTGACTAATCCCTACTAGAGCTTATCCCGGTTTTCAGAGCATGAAGCGACTAAGAGAATTACTAACCCCCCCCCCTCCTTATGGGAGTTAGCTTATTGTAAAATTATTTCCAACATTTCATCAGGCTTTCCAGCCAATTCACTGGTACCCATTTATACTCCTGGGTGGGGTGGGGTGGGGTGGGGTGGGGTGGGAAGAAGCACTGTGAGAGTAAAGTGTTTCACCCAAGAACAAAGCACATTGACCCAGGCAGGGACCCGTCAGTTCTCCAAAGTCCCGGTAACCGGGCCCGAAGCCATGTTTTTATTATAAAATCAAAATTTAAAGATAAAATCAAAATTTAAAAGATGGGAAAGCAGGTTCTGGCACCCAAACCAGTCTTTTTGTTTCTTTAGCGGATTGTTATTTGGTTTTTTTTTTTTTAATCATTTTCAAAACTTTCTGAATGAAAACAGAACAACTTTAGGGGCCCGTTAATATAAGTTAACGGGACTTTCGAGAAACAGGCCCCTGGTCTCGAACCCAGGCCTCGCGACCCGGAGTCCAGCGTACCAACATCGGGTCACCGCGTCTCCCACGGGTGGAGCAAAGAGGAATTAATAGATTCCGGACCCTCATTGATAATCTATCTAATGAGAGGTCTGAGTTGAATCTATACCAGAGAAAGTACCTCACGTATTATTATACTTAGGGACGTTACAGTGGTGAAAACTTGTTGCCGACTTATTCGGCTGCGCCTCGCGAGTCCACAGCATTTTTTGATATGACCACTTTTTAGGTACTACCTGTAGTGGAAAAAGCTTAGTGTGCAAAAAGACTTTCGTTTCCTCTTCCCTACTTTTGTTCCCTTTTACAGATTTCCATGAACGTTTCAATTTACTTTCGCTTATTTTGCGACACAGCGGTTGTTTCTCGTCTTTTCCTTTGAAATTTTGCGCGGGAAATTGGCGCACGGTCGGCCAGACTTGTACCCTCGCGCATGCTTGACGTTTGACCATTATAAAGTACAAACAACGGCAAGAGACGGTAAGGTGAAGTTTTTGAAATATTTTATTGAAGAAAATCCTGTCGAAATAAGTTACTCACACCTATAAAGCCAAGGTGTTTTGCCAACCCACGACTTAAATTGTAATATAAAATTTGTACTTAAAAAATGTTTTAAAATCATTTCTTGCTTTACAGTGACATAAGCAGAGTGCGCAACGGTGTTAACCAATGAGAGACGAGAATTGGTCAAGTATTTCAGAGTAACAAAAAATTGCATGTTTAACTGAAATAAGAATAAATATTCTAAATAAGGTGACATAAACACGTCTCGAAAAAATACATTTGCTAAAAATAATCGACGGAATAAAGGAGCACTTTCGTTATTTCAGTTGTCCTTAATACACAAAAAGAAAGCGAAATCCGGTACAACTGATCGCAATCCAAAACTAGTCATGGGGAATGAAGCCTGCTAAAACAAATCTTTGTTTGGTGTTTTTCGTTAGGTTCAAGTATCGTGCTTCCTGAAGGAAACGAGAGCGCCCCCTTAAGTAAAGCATCTTATATTACAAAAGTGATAAGAAATAATCAAAATGACCGATACCAAGGCTCGAGACAACCTCGTTCCCAGGCTCTTTACACGTTCCCGCCAAATGACATTTACACGGTAGAGAAGACCCTAGGTACTAGGTAAGGCTTGCACACTGCACACCGCTGACCACTAAGAGGCGAACCTGCCATCTCAGCTGTAACAAAACAACATGTAAGTTGTGAAATTTAATTAGCTGCCACTTTAAATCATTCCTCTACATTCTTAACTTAGCTTTCTTATAAAAAAAGCTTACATATTATGGTCAATTTTCTGACCGATGCGAATGTGAGAAAGACTACATAATCTTTCTTATTCCTTTCAAGAAGATACCACTTTTTATCATGCATCCATAGAAGCTCATTGATTTTTTTTTTCTATAACTAGCAAGGAGAGTAACTAATCGAATTATAAACCAAAGACTGACGTGTGTAACAAACGACAGTCTGAACAAGAGAGCGACTTGTATTGCAACAGTAGATAAAGGTTTTCATTTTCTCACATTACGCGAGCTTTCTCACTTTCACATAGGAATAGTTTTATACTGTGTTTCAAGTACTTCCCTCTAAGATCAAAAACTTAGGATATTGACTAAGTTTTTCCCCGTAAATTTAGTTAAGTTTGACTTTTTGTCGCAGAAGTTTAGTTCACCCATTATCGCTCGACTCAGCTTTTAAGAAGGACCTATCTTTGTTATTCTCACAAATAAGCCGTAGAGATTTCCTTGTAATCTGCATCTCTTATAATAACCTCAGAATTATTCATACTAAAAATTACAATATTTTTGCTCTTTTCGCCAATATCTGGATGACAAGTCAAGCTAATTCACGGACACCTATCAATCAATCGTTTGAAAATGTAACTATCAACTGAAACTTTACCAAAAAAATTCAAGTTATCATATAGTGTTGAAAAATATATCGAAAAAGAAAATCTGACTTTGCGTACTTCATGCTTAACATGAAACATTCTTAAAATTTTATATTCAATTACTCTACCAAGTGCCATAGCTCATCATGATTGAGCAGCACAAGTATACAATTATGGGCTTTACACTTTTATAAGATTGTGTTATTTGAAGCAATATTGTGTTATTTGAAGCAATATCGCCCACTGAAGCAAATTTCTAAGGGATTCCGTCGAAATTTACCCACGACGAAAGGAAATATGTAGCTAAATAAATCTATAAATTGATCATTTAATGGTTCAAAGGTAAAATACCAATAGCTGTGTGCTAATAAAAACACCGATTTTATAAATATCTCAGATTATTGCATGCTGCATAGGAGACTGTTAATGACCACGTATTAAGTTCCCTCTCACTCTACAGAGGTAAAAAAGTCCAATCGTTTATTTATAAAACTGGTCAAACAGGTCTCTTGAGACCTGGTTTTAACCGGTTTTATCAACGGCAATTGATCCGAGAAGGACTATTGGCTACGAGTTGTCTCATCACCTCTTATTCATGTTCTTGAGACGTGAAGATTCGATTTCGTTATGTTTCCCTAATTTATACCATCCTCGTCCTTTATCGCCTTAGAACTCGTAAGTCTAACTGACGTCTAGTTCCTCAGCTTCAAACTCAGCTTCAAACTCAGCTTCCCCTCGATGTGCCGTTCTGTTGTGGGCATTTTCACCGTTTCAGCTAATTTAATTTATTTGTTTTCAAAGCATTATATTGACGCTTATTGATGGGCAGGTACACAATTTCACCAAGAATCCTGACAGGCCACATTTTTCACTTTAATTAACTTCATCGTGAGCGTCTAGGGCTTGTTTTCCTATTAGATCCCGGTGTAGAAATGAAAGACAAAACTTGGCGTTTGTAATACAAGATTTTTGGCATTAGTACTTCAAGATGCCTTCAAGGAGAAGCTGAACAAAATGTTGTTACCCTGTTTTTCGAGATGGTGTTCTCAGCAAAGTGCTAATGACTCCATCATGTACACATACCGCAACGGCTTGTACCGACCTTACAGTTTCAAAAGGTGGTTTTACATCCATCACCTCCGAGACCTAGAAAGTTTTTTCTTCGCTAATACCACAGTTTGCCATATTTACTCGGAGGGAACCAGGAGGGTGAAGAATACTAAAGGTGTGTCGAAAGTACTTCACAGAGCCCAATCCTAGTCGTTCGAAGAGTCCTCAAAAACTTAGAATATATAATTGCATCGGAAAGTTGGTGAAAATAAGGCGAGAGGCTATTTCCCAGTTGGTATAGCAGTTTACTAGGTGTGTTTTTTAACAGAATTTTCTACAGTAGGCGAGTGCTCATAGTGCTAAGTCCAAATTTTCTTTCTTGTGATTGAACTGGTATATTGCGGACACTGGAGTCACTCCTTGTACTTTCATACTATGTAATCAAGCTTGATTAAGCGGATGACCAAAGTTCCTTAGATTTTGTTCACCGCTTATGCCGTGTAATCTACCTCCGGTCTATATTCATGCATTATTTTGAACTAAGAGCAACGAAGTTATGACGTAATAGCTATTTCCATATTTCGTTTCCGGTTTGCTGTGAGTACAGACGATCGTTCGACATCAGCAGTTGCCTAGGAGAAACATTTCCACTCTTCAGTTCAAGGAATAAACGTTGAAATCCACTCTTGCCTCTGAGATAGAAATTTTTTGACAGTTTATCTTGCAGTTAATACGAATAAATATATCATTGAATAAAGGCCTTCCAATGTTCTCAAATGTGCAATTCAGCACGACACATATCACATCAGGTATAATGCATTACGTGACATGCATCAAGTGACACAGATCGTCACACAGTCTCAACTGACCTCCGTGTTGGATGAGTCTTATCGGTCGAATTCTCGTCTTTGTTGTTAACGCTACAAACCACAACATCTCTTGGAGACTTGAGAATCTTACCATCCATGTTTTCGAGTTCCACAGATTGCTTTCTGCTGTTCTCACCGGATTTGTTAGCCTTTCCCTTTTCTCGAGCTTCTTCTGCTTTCTTCAGTTCCTCTTCTTTTCTTCGGTTCATCTCTTTGTTGTAAAAGTTCTCGAAATTGGACACGATTACGGGTACAGGCAATGCAATGGTTAGCACCCCTGAGAAACAAGATAATTATTATTTAAAATTCTGATTTCATTGGCTGAAACTATTTACGAGGAAAATATCTGACACAACAAACGTTGTATGTAAATCATCCATCAAGAGACTGCTATTTCGTACTAAAGTAATCAAAATGGCCAATCAGAAGAAGAAAAATGCCTTTAAGGGCCAACGAGAACTCAAAGTAAAACGAAGCAATCTGCTTAAAGCGCGGGAAAACGCTGCCGACCAAGTGGTGATTGATTTTAGTTTTACATCTGATTGGTTGAGAGATTGGCACGAGTTTTCTGGACCAATCACAGCGCGAAGTAAACCAAAACCAAAGCAGTCCTGGATTACTTTCGACACTCGATTGAAAATTGTTCTATCTAACAAAACACATTACAAGCCGAACGTCATATGTAGTGCAAAAAAAAAAAAAAAAAAAGAACGTCATATGTAGTGCAAAAAAAAAAAAAAAACCCTGGGCTTCCACAGGCGAATACCTTACTCCGCATAGTTCTACAGCTTTGGTGAACTTTTAGCTATCTCTTCTTAAATGTATTCGTAGCTGCAGAGTTATTCCATTAGAGTAAAAAATGAAACCAAAAAAATAATTACGGCAACCAGTAAATGCAAAGGCCAACACCAGGAGAAACTAATGATAACTAGAGTAAGAACAAGAAAACTCGGCTAAAAGCTCGAATCTGATTGGTTTTAGAAGCGGAGTAAGTTTCCTTCACCAATCATATGGCGCGCAGCGAGGAAAAACCAATACATTCCTCGATTACTTCCGATTCTCAGTTGTAATAGGTTGAATCATATTTTAATTCGCTTCCAGATAGGTCTTTTAGTGATAAGTTACTGAGCAGAAAATATCAGTGAAAGCGGGTGACCTCCAACTACAAAGTACATGGGTGGCCATTGACGTTCGCGCATTTTGTGAATAAACAAAGCCTTTGCCGACAAAATATTGTTGTTTCACTAATCCTCGATTACTTCAGTCTTCAGCTTTAAAATAAAAAAAATCAAATTTCACGGCTGCCCTCGTAACTGCTATATTTGTTATATATCTTTCTTTTCTCGCGTTAAGTTAACTCACGAGGCAATAAAATTACCACTTGGATGCCTGTCTATAACTGATCTTATTAAAAACTAGATCATTGGATAATGCAATTCAAGACTTTTTATTGGCTTAGCCATTCTGGTATATCAGCCAATATACCATAATCTACAAATATGGTAAGTGTACGTGTCAGCTTAAAATTAAAAGAGAGCTAAAAATTTAAGAAAATTTAATAATTTAATTTAACGTTTTTAATAAAACAATTATTCCACTCGCGCTCAGTGGATATGAGATGGTTATAGCTAACTAGGCGCTACGCGCCTCGTTGGCTATCTATCATCTCATATCCAACGCGCGCTCGTGGAATAATTGTTAAATATACCACGAGAGGCAGACGATGGCTCTTCCAAGACATTCTGAGTTTTGAAACTGTGAATATTAATTAGTTAGACGAGGAAACGAGAGGATTTCTCTCACAGCAAATTTTCGCATGCAGTGCAAACGAGCACGGACTAAAATGGACGAAGACCATTTCTTTAAAATAGGACATCTAAGGCACTAAAAGACTGAACGAACTACGTCTGGCAAAACAAATAATATTTTAAGGGTTTAGCTTGTTTTTATGATCATTAACTCAATCAAATTTTGTATTCCACTAAATTTTCGATGAATTTCTTTCCTTGCGGAAAATAAATAAAGGTACTCCCTCATCGAGACAATTCCCTATAAAGCTAAACGGTAATTGTAAAAGCAACTTCTTTCCAAATATGTAACGTATAGTGGCCATAGACATCTTAGCGACAAGATTACATCATTTCAAAATGGCGGAGATATTGCCAAAGAACAAGTATGCGAAAGACGACCGGCAAAAGTTTTAGTAAACTATGAAAGAAACTACAAAATTATCCAGTTTCAAAATACAGAGTATTTGTCCACGCCTTAGCGAAGAAACTATCGAACTTAATCCTGATTTACTGCTGAAATATAACGTGGTATCGCGTAAGCATCTCAGAATTTCAACGGTATGAATGGTGTTCCAATTTTCCTTTTAAAAAGAGACATAACAGATTACTTTTTATATAGAAGTAATACACATTTTTTACGCGAATTCAAGATAAACTGACTTTAGATCAAACGCATCTTCAAGAAATTTTAGTAAGTTGGATGTATTTATTTTTCCTGCTTATTTCAGCACATTACAGTTTTAGTCTTTGTTTTTAAAGGGCTTGAAGAGCGGCAAGCGTTGTTTTCGATCTATCAAAGATTTTTCGATTTTTCGAGAATTGAAAACAGAGTGCAACGAACTAACAGGTGCTTTCATTCCTTGCGATACATCAGTTGATTAATAAAACAAACTCAACTAACTTTTCTACTAAGCACTGACAGTAGATTTTTTGATAGATTTGTTTTCTGTTAAAATTAAATCTTCTATTTGCGTGGGAGGTTGACGAAATTTAGCCGCTTTACCCTGTATTTTAACGAAGTAGATTCATAAATTCATTTGCCTGTCTAAATGAGTTTTGCTCTGAAAAATGAATGCAGTAAACGTTTCCCTGAAAACGAATCTCTTTTCAAGTTTTTATTAGCAATACCACGCGCTGTTTTGAGTTCTTCCTTTTCTATCAATAGCACATACCGGGTGTGTTTTAAAGAAATCTGTTTTCTTTAGGCCAATACCCTGCTGAGATTCAACCTTTTCCAGCTCGACGACAACATGAAATAAAATTTGGATATTTGCGCGGTAACCACCGAATGTTTGTCGCTTTAATATACGTTCTGTATTATAGCTGTACACCTCCTGAATAAAATTACGTCGAATCAATTTTTCCTTTTCACTGCTCTCACCTCGAGTGCGCGTGGCAGGTTTTGAATTTTTAAAAACCTCAGCAGCAGGTCAAACTTGTTGTCGTTTGGTTTTTAACTCTATTACTTCTCATGACAATTGTTAATTTGGAGAGGTTCTTGAGTTTTGAGAAAGTCTGAATCCCGGCGTAAAATATACAGCGCACCCTTAATTTTTGTAAATGAATTCAAAATATAACTGCCACATACAATCAAACGCTTTATTCATACACATCACCTAATAGAAGGATGAGCCATTATGATAACATCCATGTATTTTAGTCTACAATAACTAAAGCGACTTCAGTCCGACGACGATTTTACTCCAAAAAAGTTTTCGAACGAAATCGATTTCAATTAGGCCCAAAATTTTTCTTACGTGCATAGAGTGGAAACGCTGTCAAGTCCAGGCCTTTATAATTTACAATGCAAGCTTTTTATCGCATTCTCTTTTTGAGCTGCTGGTACTTATAAATATTTCAAAGCTGACAAGCTTACTGCAGCGTCAGCTCGCAACTCTAATCTAATTTATTTTACTCCGTTAGGAGCACTAGATTTCAAATTTAACCCATTTGTGCTGCTATCTTTGAATTATCGTGATTTCGGGAAGACTAACGTTTGGTTTAAATTGAAAATTTGACTTTTACCGCTAAAGAATGAACGATGTGAAAGCAACACCTCCTTGATGTTATCAACTTCAGCGTTCCAAAGCCAATTAATATTTAACAAGAAATTTCAGTGTTCAATCATCCATGGCAAAATTCAACAAAATTTGAATTCAAGCGAGCTAGTTTGGCGGTAAAAATCGCTGATTTTAATGAAAGACCAAAAAACAGCAAAGTGCATTTGTTTGCTTTACAAAATTTAATGGCTTTTCCTTTTAAGCAAAAATAATTCCTCGCCAACATTTCAAAACAAAGTTATTGTATTTGGATCCCACATAATAAATTACTCATTCCCTCAACTTGGGAATAATGGCAGAAGGTAATCAAGTGTTTTTGTCGCGAATCAGCGCGTGAACAGGACGCGCGGGCCAAATACACGCGAGAATCACGCGAGAGAATCTTAAATCATGTTGTTTCTCATCATTTCTTATTTCGTGGAAGCGGCGCGTTTATCTTATCTCGGTACAAGGTATCACCCTTTTTTAACCGCAAATTTTTCACCTTAGGTATTCAACAGAAAGTCGATTGAGATAAGAGAGCCCCGCTTATAGATCAATAACTTCGACGTTGTCGTTTTCAATCTAAGTGATAACGTCCCACTATGTTTCATTATTCAGTCATGTTCAACAATTGATTTTTCTATTGTTCTCGAATGGATCCATCAGATAAACTCAACTTCCGAGATACCGCGACCTGAATTCTAAGGCAGTGCCATATGAACTAACTTAAAGCCGAAACACAGATGATAATACTATTAATTTCATTCGGGGATCATCAGCATTCGCGAGCACACGAGCTGCAAGTTCTAAAAAACGCTCTATCAAGTAATAAGATAAATGAAATTTGAAGGGCTTTGACTTTCCATGACTGACAGGTAAGCCGTTTAAGAGTAAGAATGAATGTTAAATCCTTTGAATGCTGGTCACTCATTACATTAAGTCAGCTTACCTGAAATGGCGCACAGTGCTCCCACGATCTTTCCTGGTAAACTGACGGGGGAAACATCTCCGTAACCCACAGTAGTCATAGTGACGACTGCCCACCAGAAAGCGTGTGGAATGCTTTGAAAACCCTCACTGTCGGGCCCTCCTTCCGCGTAGTAGACGCAACTTGCAAATATCATAACGCCAATTGCTAAGAAGAACATTAACATAATCAGTTCATTCAAACTCGCTTTCAGCGTGTTTCCCAATATTTGAAGCCCGCGCGAGTGACGTGAGAGCTTAAACACTCGAAACACGCGTACCACACGCACCACGCGCAGCACGGAGATGGAAGAGTCATCTTCTTTAAGTCCGAGTTGAACATAGTAAGGCAAAATGGATAATAAATCAATAAGATTCAAAGCACCCAGTAAAAATTTCAATTTTTGCGGGGAGCAAATAAAGCGAATAACGTACTCTCCAGTGAACCATACGATGACAAATGTGTTAAGTTGAAACCACACTTTATCATAAGGGTTTGGAGGTGGTTTCCAGTCATCTGTAGCATTTGACGGTCGACTTTGGTTTGCCATTTTAAAAGTTGGTAAAGTCTCGACGCAGAAAATTATTAACGACAAAGTGATTACCAACACGGAAAAAATGGCTAAAAATTTGGCCACTTTCGACGAGTTTGGGTATTCCAACGCGTTCCAAATAATTCCCATGTAGTAATTACTCGGCATCGGTTGATCTTCAGGCTCGTCCGCTATACCTGCCTCAAGTTGAATAACTTGAACAGCTTCCTCAGGGAGGTCATAAAAGACAACTTCGTTGATGAATACATGCGGGGGAACATGCTCTGGCCTTATGAGAGTTCCACCGGATTGATAATAATAAAGAATTGCGTCAAATGCCGAACGATGTCTATCGAAAAAGTATTCCTGCCGTCTGCTGTTGTAAAATTTCGACCTCCGACTCTTGGAGCCGAGTAAAGTGTCGGGGAATCTTGCAAGCGTTTCTTCGTAAGTCTCGAAACGTTTCCCTCCAACGTTTAAAACGATGGGATCGTCCATATTAGAAGGAATGTAATTCTTTAGGCCATCGAATTTTTCCATCAACTTTTTATACCCTTGGTAGCTACTGCCTGGTGCTCCATTCGGGTCCGAACTGGTAGAGGCAGAAGTGGCGGCAGTCGTCAACATTAAAAATGTCACAACAACGAGAGTAACCGTTCGTCAGTAGGCCTACAGATTAATCTTGAATGTCGCGTTACTTCGGCCACCGTTACCGCAAACTTTGTACACATGCGTAATCAACACCGGTGGATACCAACAATTCTTTTCACTGGGCGCGGAAGTCCAATGATCCTCGCATCAAATCATGTAGATTTTGCCTTTTGCGTTGAGCCGATGGCTTCTGTCCTTACTTGGCTTCACTGATTTAACAAATGCAAGCCTTAACACATGTTTATATCAATATATTTATGACCCCGTGTTCGCAGACCATTGAAAATTGTTACATTATTATTTTATGAAGATGTCTAGAATTGTAATTAACTATGAACGCACATCCAGCGAAGGAACTGCTTCTTCACCTCACAAACGACCTTACTTTTGGTTCCCCTCGCTGAAACTATGAGCTAAAAATTAAATTGTTGCGTGAAAAAAAATAATTTGGATAGCGAATGGTTAAAAGAGCAGTAATGCAAAGTGAACTGCCTAGATTGAGAATTATGAAAGTTCTAATCGTTGAAAGCAACATTTGTTTGCAGAGGAAGGAATGGGTTCAAACAACGACATAGCAGTCGTCCTACTGGGACAATGCAAATTTTCTATTTGCATATTTGTAAACTTTTCGCATTCAATTTATGTTTGAAACTCGGCCAATTTCCACTCGCCTCTCTGTCGAATGTAGCTGGAAGAAAGTATGCGTCTACTTTTGCAATCGTGTGAGGCTTCCTGAAGTAATTTCATTCGTATTTGTGAAATGTTTTCACAACTAATCATCGTAGAGATAAGGAACGTCGGTTTCACCTGTTCATAGCCGGCAAAGATATCAAAATTCAAACTTTTAACTCGTAGAATTACTACTCGCAAATTAAATCGAAAACATAGCGTTTGCGTGGCTTCGGGTTTTAAACAACCGTTGGCACTATTATCTGTTAAAGAAAACCGCTCTTATTTCTTCCCCAACTGACAGGAAAAGCATGTAAAAATTTTACTAGAGGCAAACCGCGAACGCTCGACAAATAATCTTCTAAAAAATTTAGCTTCAGTTGGCATAACATGTTTTTATTTTATCAAAATCGGGAAGTTTAAATCACCGTATATAATAACTGTACGAGAGGTACTTAGAAAGATTTATAAACAGAAGAACTATTGAAACAATAATGTTTGTTGGCAGAGCCTTTCGTTTTTTTTTTACTCGAAATATTTAGTAAAATTAAAAACAGTAATAGTGTTAAAGGAAAGCGCTTAAGATTTCAAATTAAATTTTTTTCAAATCCGGGTCAAAATTATTTGAAAAAAATTATTCAGTTGTTTTCGCCGTACAATAATATCAAGTTTCGAAAAACAAAAGCGGAAACCTTTGTTAAGAAGAAATATTTAAACCAAATATAACGCTTCAAATTCCTGTTCTTTTAAATTTTTAATGGCTTGAATGTTTTGAAAAAAACTGCTTAAATATGCACTGGCTCGGCTGATTGGGGAAATTCTTGCCGGTATCTAACGTAAAGTTATAAATCACAGAAATGCCTCCCAAAGAAACTAAAATTTTTGCTACCACCCAAAGCGAGGTATCAAAAAGTAAAAGCTAGGATTTTTCAAAAAGACAAAAACTCCAAAACTGAGTTGTTACGACATTTCTACACTGACACAAAAAGCATTATTCCACACCAATTTTGGTTCGCCCATGGCGATGATGAAAGAGGGAGAAATTTGACTTTCAAAATGTTGAAAGAATATATGCGCAAATAAATAGAGACAAAGGACGAAAAGAACCGAACTGCAGATCAACAATAATTGCCAGTACCATGTTCAATAACAATAAATTTAGACATTTCACGAAGGTTTCTTTCTTAAGAGGCGCGAGGCTTTTCCGTCGAGGATACCAGCTGTTTTGTGCTTAGGTTTCCAACCTCTTGTTTTTACTTTGTCCTTACTAGCCTGCAAGTGTGATATCCTGGAGTTTTAATCTTGTTCCCCCTTTGTTCATAATTGACCACAGTTCTGACCAGTTTTTTCAACGCCAAAAGAGGAGATCCTCTACGTGGAAGTCTTTCAATTTCAAAAAGATTCATTCGCGCCCTATTTCAGATACATTTCAAGGTTTTTAAGGGTTGCTTGCGGTAATCATTGCTCAAGTTATCGCTTCAGTGCTTCTTTTTACAACCGTTTTTAAGTTATAAGCGCGGAATAAAATTGCTTGAATATTTTCCTCTAGAAAGCGTTTCCAAGAACAATTTGCTTCGAACTGCAGGTCGCCACAAGGAAAAATTGGTTGATGCATATTGGAAGGGAAACGCCTAAAAGCATAAAAAATCGATTAAACATACATAAATAAAATCCTTAATCTTCGCATTAAGTTCGTTCATCCTTGTAAAAATCGAACAAAAGTCAGAATATTTTACGTCGGGCAAGGTAAATATTTCTGATTACGTTTTTCTTGGCTTAAAAATAATCCTTTCAGATATTCAGACTCTGATTGATTTGCGCTAATATTTACAGGGGGTCGATCACCAAAAACAAAACAATCAAAAACAATTTGTGAAACTGAGCTTCAACAAAAAGTGAAGGAATTTTGCGAAAAACATAGTTAGTGGAGAAGAATTCCTGTTAAAATAGAGGTAGATTTTCAAACCCTTAAACAAAAACAGTTCGAGCAAAGTCAACTGGATGATTTCGCCTCCAAACAAGTTTAGAGTTAAGTTCACGGAGCCCAAGCCATTGTGACGATGTCCTGCCGTTTTTTTAATGAAATGCTTCGGAAAAAAAACTTTGTAGAAAATAATTAGCGCTTTCCTGCTTCCCACTTTCCAGGGGAACGCGTAGGAACAATTTCTATAGCGCCAGTTCTGAAGGCGAAGAACCTCTAATAAAGTCATTAGTAATTTGAAATGAAATTGGACGGAAGGATTTTAGAGAAGTTGATATTCTGGACGAATTCATCAAAAATTCAAACGATAAAATTAACAATACAAACAATAAACAACAGTTTCCAAATATATCATTAGTTTATATCTCAGGCGAAAATTATCTGAAAGACCTAGATCACCGTGTCCTCAAAGTTAAACTTTTTGTATTTCCTTAAAGTGCAGCTTCAGGCGAACAAGCGAAATTCTACTTTTTCATGTGAGAATATAATATTTTCAATGTATTGTTCTAACTTATTTCGCCCTCAACAAGGTTTGTGGTAGGGACTGAAGATAATTTAGTATTTTATTGCTATCACTAGGTAGATCAAAAAGTTTATCCAATCACAAAACTTAAGACATCAAGAATGCACAAGTAAACAAATTAACTTTTCTCGGCTAAATTTCCCCTACAAAGAGTGGCAAAGAAAAACAAAACAAAAACAAAAAAACAAAGAGAGAGAGAGAGAGAGAGAAGCCGGTTAAATTACTAATTCGCAAAATTATCGATTGTAAAATTATTTCCAGTAGCCAGCCACAGAAAGGCTCGAAAGAATCTTGAATGTTTTTAATTGAACAGGTGACATCATTGATTTTAATTCTTTAGTGAAAATTTGATAGAACCCAGCTGGCCGTGGAATAACCTGCAATTCAAACCATTGTAATCACACAGCTGGAGAGGGGTCGGACCATTTTAAAGTTCTCTTCGACTTTAATTTAATTTCGCACAATTTTGAAATCCTTCAATGTTCCTAGGTCCTAGGACGCTTCCAAAGTTTATCTGAAAGAATCTCCATTTATTTCTGGTAAATCTTAATACGCTTATCTTACGAAACAATTTTCATCTTTTCGATTTTATCATTACTTTCAGCAAAAAATCTTCGGCCAAAAAATATTTCTCTACCTGAAAAGTTTAAAAGCTAGAATAACTTGTCTCAGTAATCGCACATTTTTTGAACATATGAAGAAATCTAATTTACTGATTACCCAGTATTGTGTAAATATTGTATAAGTATTTCGTGCATCGAAAAATCGCCTTATCAAACGAGATATCCCACAATCCAACACTTAAAATTTAAAACGAATATTTTTCAAAATGAATTCCCTCGTTTATGCCTTAACTTGAAAAGTAAATTAGCTATTAAGAAATAAATTATTTCGCGATATAAATCTAAATATTCTTCATACGTTACAGAAAGATAAACGAATGGTGATATCGATTATAACCGCGTCATAATCATGAATTAAAGGGATAACATCTTGCAAGGATCAATTTTAATGAAAATTTTTGATAAAACAAGGAAAAGGTAGAATACGACAAAAATTTTTCAAAAGTTACTTTTGGAAGGTTAACACCATTTACCGTTAAAGTGCAGCAAAGTTTAGCTGAGGTCATATAATGCAACATGGATTAAAAAGACTGACGATGAATATAATGTGAAGAGAGCTGATATATCAAGTTACCTTGGTAACCAACAAATACAGCCTCGGTTTTCATGCTGCACGCACTAACACTGCAGTTAAGGATAACAAAGGAAATACGCGATATATCTTTGACAGCGATTTTTTTCGGGAAGCGTTTTAGTTCTGTGCGCCCGACAAAAAGTCAATATCTGTCATTCAAGAAGCAAGATAAAAATTTTTATGTTTCAAGTAAACAATACCTTATTCAAGCCAAATTAGATTTACAAATGTGCCACACAGCATTGGCAGGTATCTACCAACAGGTGTAACAATATAAAAACATTCATGGTGAAGCGTTTCGCTGCTAATGGCCCTTCTGTAAACCATTCATCAACGCTGTATTTCTTTACAGAGTATGGAATGGCAAAGTTTTCCTCTGCAACGTGCTCACATCGATGCCGAGAAAAGCGGATATCGAATTTCTATGGATCGACTTTTTTGTAACCTAGATGGACTCCTCAAAAGAGACATGAATGATTGTTTGTCAAAACATCTCAACGGATTCCTCGACGACCACGCAAAAATATACCAGTTTGGACTACGTAATCAAAGAGAAAGGGTTAATCTCAGAGCGGGAGAAGGCTTCCCTATGAAGGACGAACAAAAAACACTTCAAGAAAGTTTCTTGAACCCGTTTACTCGCAAAAGTCAAAGCGCTTCGGTTCACAGGCCCTCAAATATGCGGTTCAAATCAACACGCTTGCGTAATGGTATATCGTCCGCTCCGTCAATAAACGCGTTTTCGTCAAATAGATTAATCAGACCGCCTAACATTCCTTCAAAACCTCCCTGTAACACGACAAACGAAAGGAAGCCGCGACGCCAATCAAAATTGGAAGGACTTCCCTCATCTTCAGAGGCCGAAGCCGCAAGCAATGTGTTGCCAGGCAACGGTTGGTGGAGAGGCACGTGCAGCAACGATTCTGAGACAGATTCGGAGGTCAGCAGTGAAACTGAAAACAGTGAACGTTCCAATCTAGAAATAAAAAAGGATGATTCTACCCAACGATACTCTTTGGATGCGCGAGACAATTCTAACAGTCGTCAGTCGTCAATTAGTTCAATAGCTTCGGAATTCAGTGAGACCGAAACAAAAACTCGAGCACAGGAAAGTTCCACTCCCCGTCTACCTTCAAAACTCCAAAAAGAGCAGATTAGAGAAATAAGCAGAGAATTGGAATCTTCGTCTTTCTTTCATTTGACGAGTGGGCCTGGGAACGAGAGTGGGCCGATAGATGAAGCATATCTAGAGCCCATACCACCACGTACTACTCCGGATCTTGATGAAAAAGCCTGTTCTACAAGCAAAACTCTGTCGCCCTTAAGTGGGTCTCCAAGCCTTTTTATAACGGCAGAAAAGTTGGACGATGACTTGAAACTAGATTCCAAAGAATTACTTAATCAAAGGTTTTACAACTCAACAAGTCGAGTAAATTACAATAATTCAGCTACGTTTATGCATAATAGTGCGCATTTTGATATAGAGCCAATCAGTAGAGAAGACAATTTTCAGAGGCGCGTCGATAAATACCGAAATATATCATGTGCTTTTCCCAGAGTTTGGGAAAGCAAGAATGGGTCAAAGAACAACAGAGCTGTTCCGATAAGTCTCCAAAAGCGAGCAGTCCAAAACCGCCCCAACACCACTGAATTACCTGTAAGAATAAGGTTCAAACACAGAGGAAGTCCCTTCACCAAGTTTACAAAAGCTGCAGAAGAGACAGGACCAAACGAGCGGGTTTTACCAACGACTTTACATAAGTCAGCGGAAACATCTTACTCTGTCATGACTCCCTATATGGCGAATGTAGTGTGGTCTGTTATGAGTGATGAAAAAGTGCTTTGAATGCGAAGAATTTGTAGACATCGATAGATATGTGACAACAAACATAATAAAAAACCAAACAAACAAATAGAGAAACCGCGTCAAATAGAGAAACTTTACATGCTTAAATCAATATCTAAATAACTAAGAAGGTAAAAGAAATGAATTCATTGAATGTTAAAATAAAAATTAAGATACTGCTCGCATTCCTATATCACACTGGCTGTTTGAATGTTTGAAAAAATACATATACACAGTGATTGCAAACGTATTCTGATTAACTTGCGACTAAATTGCTGTTATACATCGTATTTCTTTCACTAGCGCAAAGAGCAACATTAATAAAGGCTGAAATCGGCAATTACACTACTACCAACGTTATTTTCAGTGCCGGAAACGCCTGCAATAAGCCAATTGGCTGTAATTCACAATGAAACACAAGCCGGCTGTGATTCGCAATGAAACAAGCTCCACGTCAATGAATAGATTTGCTTGGATCAGTCTTTACGTTTAAAACCTTTGATAAATTCAGTCTGTAGGCCATGTACATAAATTAACATAAGCTAGTAATCTGGTTTTAAGTTTGTAAAAGTTTTGCTTATTACCTCTCTCCTCGGAAACATTACCCATCTTATAAAAGAAGCTGACGATGAGGGAATTTCCGTCAGGCTGTTACGCAGAAACCGAGGACCGGACTGGGAACGAATGGTTTGTGCCTCTTTGTGAAGCATATACAACATGGTACTTCGGATTGCAAGTCAGTAAGAACGCGGGAATAATTTTCTCCAGATATCAGATCTTCTGGTCGAGAGTTCTTCATTTTTTAGCCGGAGGACGTTTGCAAGTTCTTTCTGAGCTTACTATTTTCTAAGGAAGTATTTATTCTACAGGCTTCAGGGGTAAATTCTGCACGAATCGAAAGTATTTTCGCAGTTTATACCGTGTTTTGATCATGTCACATTGGTCTTCAACATTTTGGGGTAGTACTGCGGGATTATTCGGCGAGGACGATGAAGCAGACGTTGGTGATCCCGAACAACAAGTACGTGAGTGTGAAGGGTTAAGATAGAATTGTTGTATTTTGAATGTTGCTATGAAGGTGTTCATATCTAATGAGACGGGCATGTTCAAACCTGTACGTCAGAGATTAGGTTGCATGCGGGGCNAGGGTTCTCACTTCTTTGGTAATTCGAAGCTGTAAATCATGTTATGTTAAAAAGCAGTATCCTATTTTAAAGATATTCATCTGTCTGACTTAGTTCAAGACACTGTTGAATGTCTTCTGTAAGACCCCTAGAAAGTATTCTTTTCTTTCCCACATATCACCTATGAAATCCACTTATGAAAGTCACTTGTGTTTTCAATTCGGCAGACGCGCTGGGACAACAAAGACAGTCTTATATTGGTTTTTGACTGCTCAAAGGAAATGCTTCAACATTCCAGAGATGGAATCCCTTTCCAGCTGTGCGTAAAGGTATTTACCTTAACATCATCATACAGAAATGTAAATAAAACTACTATCTGTCACCCAACAATTTTGTCAGCTGATTTATTCAGACTGAAATATGATTTATCTCCAGTAAACTCCAACCTCCCCTAATACATTTTGCTCTTTTTAGTGTGCCATTAGCGTCCTTAAACACAAGATCATCAGCAGTGACAAAGATTTGATAGGTGTGGTTTTCTATGCAACTGTAAGTACAAGAAAAAATGTAGTTTTTGTCTTTTGTGTTATGATCCACTTTTTTCTCTGAATTGGTCTGGCTCAGGAAATAATGTCATTATACAATTAATTTTACCAGGAGAAAAGTAAAAATCCAGGTGATTTCAAGCATGTTTATATATATCAGGTAACTATTCCAGTCCTAATTCTGCTGACCTGCAGAAATATTACTCAGCACACTTGATTGTGGTAAAATGTACTTCTGGTTAAAAATCTATAAAAATTGTTAATGTAGATTGAAGCATTAATTTTTCTATGATTACCAAAGAACATAGTCTTAAATCATTATTTTACCCTCTTTTTTGTAGGAGCTGGATCTCCCAGATGCTCAGCGCATACTTGACCTTGAAAAATTCCTAGAAGGTTAGCAAATGGAGTAAATCCTTTAACCCTCAACTCCCATAAGTGACCAAGATAGAATTTCTCCTTACAATATCAATATAATATCAAGCAGACAAGTAATGAGAATAAAGAAAACTATCAATAGACCACTTTCATAAATGGCTGCTGGATTAATAGTCTTTTGTTTAAATTTAAATTTGCCTAGGTGACCTCGTTCTCTAGTACAAAATTCAAAAGAATACTTTATCTCAAGTGAGGCCACCCAGGCAAATTTAAATTTAAACAAAAGAATATTAATCTGGCAGCCATTTATGAAAGTGGTCTATAAGGGTATTTTTTAGTTGATCCAATACCAAATTCTCCAAACTTACATGATAAGAATTGTATGGCAGACAGTAAGGAGAATTGCTAAGAAGATCTTGGGAGTAGCAGGGTTAACCCCCCCTAGAGTGACAAGTAACTCTGATGCTTCCTTTTTACTTAATCACCCCTGAATCAAGCATTAGGGTCATGTGAATAAAGAATATGCCTACTAAAGCAGCACAAGATTAATAAACAAATTCTCCTTTTCAGCACTTAAGGAAAAGACTAGTATAGATGAACAGGGCTTGGCACTAACAATAGCCAACTAGTAACAGACTAGTAGAAATTCAGTTTTGGCTAGTGGTTTTTTATTTCCACCAGCCAGTTTGACTAGTAAATAAACTGAAATTGTTGTAACATCTAAGTTGTCACCAGTCACTTGGCTAGCAAGTTGAAACGGTTATGTCAAGTCCTGGATGAAGATTATATCATTAGATACTGGTGTGAAGAGCCGGTTTATTGCCCGCTAGTTATGAGTAGCAATACCAAGTTCCTTACACAGATTTTATTGAGAACTGGTATGTAAAACAATTCTGCCTGTAGCATAATTATAGAGGTCTGAATAAATTCGTGATTTTTAAAGAATCACTTCAGCATTTTCCATCACCTCAAATTTCTGAATTATTCATGGTTTTTTTTTTCAGATGACACTTGTGATAACTTTGGAGAAACATTTGGACATAGCAGTGGATTTTCACTGAATGATGTTTTGTGGACGTGTGCCAATATGTTTTCCAATAGGTAACTAAGGGAATGATACAGAATGTAGATTGCAAAATGATTTAAATAGTATTTTTATTGGAAATACTATTAGATGATACCCAAGCAATTACACTATCTGACAGTGCAAGAAACTGTCTTTTCAACTCGCCTTTGGTCAATTCCACGTTGCGGACATGACATTTAGAGGCAAAATTTGAGTATTAAATGTCTCCTAAAGCCAGATCCAAACTATTTGAATTGAAATGAGTCATGTCATAAAATTACCCCTGAAGTACCTTTTATTTTGCCAGAAAACATTTTGACTATCTCTTAGAGATCCAGAGAAAATGATTTTTCAAAGTGTGTTGTGGATGTGACTCCTAAAACAACCACTGATTTGAATTGCTTTTGGTTAGTTCAAATTTCCTGTAAAATGAAAACCTTAAAAAAAAACTGCATACACTAGCTAAATGCAATAGTAATTGTGCTTCATAAATCTGAAAAGATATTATAGAAATTACTTGTTACCATGGATTTATTAACAAAAATGTTGTGTTGCGGACGTGACCAAAATTTGTCGCGGATGTGACATTTTGGGGATGTTCAGGAAAGAGCTCTTCATTCACCACTAATAACTTTCAGAGTAATGCCACTGAAGTAAAAATGCTGTTTTTATTGCTTTTATCTGTAAATTGGGAAATAAATAACAAACAATATATATAAGAAATAAAGATGTTGTGTTGCGGATGTGACCAAAATTTGTTGCGGACGTGACATTTTGGGGATGTTCAGGAAAGAGCTTTTCATTCACCACTAATAATGTTCAGAGTAATGCCACTGAAGTAAAAATGCTGTTTTTATTGCTTTTATCAGTAAATTAGGGAATAAATAACAAATAATATATAAAAATTTTGATGATCTAGGTCATTTTGTGCGTCAAAGGGCATTTATATTTTGGAAAATTGCYAAAAAAGGGATAGCTTTACATATATTATAATATGTCTATAATTATCATTTGTGTCATTAAATATCAACCTATCTTCTCATGTTTGAAAATTTTATGAGGTTTTCTGGGTTTTTACAAATGTGTCATGTCCGCAACCCGATATCTCTTAAATGGTTGACAAATTTGAGCAAGCTGGGGTGTCAAAATTATCAGAATACTTAACCATAAGAGCAGCATAAATAAGACCTGAAACAGTTGACAACCTACACAGAAATTAAATAAATGTTGCTCTGAATCATACCCTGAAGGTCACGTCTGCAACACTTTTTATGTCTTTGTACYTCTGAGGCATTAAATGTTTGAGAATTTTTTTCTTTTGGCATTGAAAGGCCCATCCTAGTGAGTAGTTAAGATCTCAAAATCAGATTCATAGCAATCAATTTCTTTGAGATATAGCAATTTAGATATTGGTATGTAAAATGGCTTATTCGGTTAATAAGAACCCTCAAAAACAATGGCGTCACACACCTGGGCGTGGCCACTACTGCCAATATAGATTTGGATTCTTATAGAACTATGTATAAGCTTTCATTAAAAATAAGTTTGGCTCTCATATTTTGAATTTGAAAATCTGTTAAATTTTCATGTCTCATGTGGAATAGCCCCTTTTCCTTCTGGCAAGTGCAGTGTTAATTTTACTTGTCCAGACCACAAGCCCAAAAAACCTGAGAGCAACTACCTGTTCAGTAAGAAGTGGGATTCGCTTGGAAATAAATAGCTGCACTTTGCATAGGGAAATCAAATATCATTGTCAAGTCATCAAATCAAATCATTCCCCAAAGTGATACTAATTTTACAATCTCTGAGCAATTTTTACTTTTAAGAGCAGCAAACATAATTATATAATATATTGAAAAAGGACTTATTGGGTGTCAGAAGTCATGTAAAAGAAAAGGTTTACTGCCCATTTTAGAGTAGTCCAATTGGACACTTGATATCATAATTTTTTTTGACTACCAGTTAATGTCCAAATGGAAAGGTTTTCTGTCCTGGTTGTTGGGATAACCTAAGTTTCTTGCCTTGCCATCAGTAAGTAAAACACCCCACAGATCAGAAGTTCCTTAGGATGATTTTATGCAGCTTATGTAGTATCCCCTCTTTAGTTTTGGTAACAATCTGAACTGCTTTTATCTTTCTTTTTAGTGGTCAAAAGATAGGCCACAAACGAATCATGTTATTTACCAACAATGAGAATCCACATGCTGAGGATCCTGCACTCCAAGTAAGATTTCTTTTTTCTCCTCTTTTTTTTTGGGTGAATATGTGATCAAATATTCTTATAATCCAGGTCATGAAAGTCCTGGATAAATGGTGGCTGTGACTGGCACTTTGACAACTTAATACATTGATCAATTTGCATCCCCCACCTGGACAACCTCCCCTCCACCCCCCCCCCTCCGGCATTTGAACTTTTAAAGATTGGTTTGTTTGAATTTCTGCCCCCCTGGGGTAAAGATTAGTATAAGGCAAAATCAGTGGCTGTAACTTTCTACACATGGACTAAGCTTTAAAACTGACACCCTGTGGACCTTTTATTTTTCTTAATAAACACCTCCTTATTTTAAGGTCTAACACCTGTAATCTGTTGGAAAGACTTGACACTTTGGTTCAAATTCCCCATTCCCTGGCATGGATGAGGGGTCCAATGCCCATTGGTACATAAGTGGAATTTACTATCTCTAGACCCTGATGATGTATTGCTCTCAGGTTGTCAGGATGCTTGTCACTGCTATCAACATTAGTTTTTTTCAGGAAGACTGCTATCTCGATGATCAGAGTATGCAATCAACTGTCATTCCTGGGTTCACATGGTTTACCAAAGCTCTTTTGTTCTGCTCATGCAAACCTCTTTAATTTTGTAGCCAAATATATACACCCTATTTGATGGTGTAGCAATGATACACAAGTATATTTTGAGAGTTAAGTAGTATTTTTGTGAGCCAGGTCAGTGAGAGGAAAAATATGAGCAATGAACTTAATGTCCACCTGTATGATATTTTAAACCATTGAATAGTGGATTTGTTATTCCACTAGTTTTTGAGATACATGTTGTGGTCTTACTGAGCTTTAGTATCCAGAGAACATGGTCTGTATGAAAGATGAAAAACAAACACAAGAAAAATCCAATGAGTGTTTGCTATGACCCAGCGTTTGGATCATTCAGTGCAGCCATTGTGCTGCCTTCCATCAATATTTTCACTATGTTGCATGTTGTAATACTGTGGCATATTTTGCCTGGTCTGATGTCCTACTTTTGGTAAAATGGCACAATTGTGGAATATTAAAGCATATTATTGCCTCCTACAGCTACTGAGTTTGAATGTCTCATTAACATATTTTTGTGAGGAGAATTAAATCTTACCAGTTGCTAACTAGCTTAACTGTGGAATTGAAAGGGTTAATGCTGATCAGTGTAAAAATGTTGATTTCCTCTCTAATTTTTTCAGAGACGAGCCAAGACAAAATCAAGAGTAAGGTTTTCTTTTTTACACATTCATGTAGTTGCTCTCTCTCTCTTTCATTTAATTGGCTGCACTGCACTGCACTTCCATTAGGTACTGTATTTCCTCAAATAAGTGTGTGGGGGCTTATAATTATTTAAAATTCTGGTTTTAAGGAGAGGCTCTTATTGGAAGGAGGGAGCTTGTTATCCAGGGAGGTGCTTATTAAGTTAGTGCAAGTATAAGGCAAAAACTAAAAAAACATATTGTAACACACATAACAGTGGTGGATTTAGGGGAGGGGGCCCCCCTTAATTTTGGGTAAAAAAATGAACGCAGAAGGAAGAAAAGCTGGCAGGTGTACCCACACACAGACACACACACACACACACACACACACAAACCAGGCCTCTCCCTAAGCTCAAGTCAATGCATAAAGAAACTCTGCATGCGTATCATGATGGAAATAACTAGAACAGAAAAGAAACAACTCTCCTGTGCTGATTCTGCTGCATTTGGAGCTAGAATAGTTGGAAATAAAGTGGAAATGGAAACATGTTTGCCTTGTAGCCCTTCTATTCAAAAGAGTGTGTGAGATTGGGGGGGGGTGGTACTTATTTGAGGAGGGCACTAGTTTGGCATTATGGCTAAGGGAGTGGGCTCTTATAAGAGTGTGGGCACTTATTCTATAGGAAAATTCATTATGTGATGAGAGAATTTGGCTTTAAATTGCTTGCTAAAACAGGTATCACATGAATTGCAAAGTGATGAGTGTGGTATTGGTTTTCAAGTGCAATTTAACATGGAATTCCTTCCTCGCATGATGAATTTTCCTTGAATCTCATAACTAGATAAAAATAAGGAAAAGAGTAAAAACAGCAATATATAATATTATGTTTTTATCCTGAGTGCAAAACAAGAGATGGAAAACAATATCACTTAACCTTTTTTTCAACTTGCAATGCCATGCTAAAAACCTCAGTTTGTGAACCAATTAGAAAATGAAATACAGCAAGTAAAGTATATAGCTGATAATAAATTACTAAATGTATAACATGAATAAAATTAATTTGTTTCAGGACTTGAATGAAGTTGGGATAGCAATTGAACTGATGCATATCCAGCCTCCTGACCTTCCTTTTGATTCAAGTCTGTTGTATCAAGTAGGTTTCACATGGTTTAAAGAGTGGTGTTTGCAGTGTCAGTATTTATTTAAAAGATGTTATTTGCATGGCTTGAATTCTCTGTCCTTTTCACACCATTGTGTTGTCCTTTAATTTGAATTAAAGAGAGTCCAGCTTCTTTTTTTTATTTAAAGATGCCTTTTCCTCCCTATTATGATAATTAAGTGATGTTAGTACATTCTTAAAAAATGTGCCACTACTATCGATCACCACAAGAGAAGAAGTGGATATGTATCTTATTGACCAAGCGCGAGGGCTGTACTGGGAGAATATCCGCCTGAGGTCTTGACAGTACGGACTGAGCGCAGCGAGGTCCATACAAAAAAGACCAAGGGCCAATATTCTTCCAGTATGGTCCCAAGCAAGCTTAGTGAGTAAGAGATTTATTATACGGTTATAGTTTGAAATTTGATTTCAGATCTGAAAGCTTTAAAAGAAAACTCAGACAGTTTAATTCCATTTGTCTACAATTTAATAATTGAATGCTCATAAAAAAAAATTGGGAAAATTATCCCAAAAATTAATGGCTTTTGAACAAGGATAAATGCATGGAAACGCAGATCAAAATTTAACCTGGGTTAGTGCTAATCAGCCTTTGAACAGCTGGGCCCTGGACTCTGGGTTCAAGACCTATAACCAGGGTCATTATCTTGTGTCTATGGCCAAAACACTATTTCACAGTGTCTCTCTCCACCTCAGAGTGTAAATGGGTACTGGCAAATAATGTCAGGAAAGCCTGATGAATGTTGGGGGGTAAGTTTGTGATGGACTGACATCCCATCCTGGAGAGTAGCCAATATGTGACATTCAAAGCCACTTCATGCTTTAGAAACTGGGATGAGCTTAGGGTGGATGGGCAACTTTTCAACTTACAAGCCAAGTGGCTATAGTGACATCTTAGATGTTACAACAATTTCTGTTTGTTTACTAGCCAAACTTGCAGGTGGAAATTTAAAACCACTGGCCAAAACTGAATATTTACTAGTCTGTGGCTGGTTGGCTACATTAGTGTCAAGCCTTGGACCATAGGCTTGAGAACTATTGTTGGGTTATTCTTGGAATAGTTACACACAACCAAAGTTTCAGTTATTCTCCTTGATATCTTCCCTTTAAATGATTCAGCAACTTGTGAGTTAGTTTATTTTTCTTGTCACAGGATGTTATACAAATGGATGAAGATGAGGGAGGGATTTTGCCAGATCCTGCTGAGAAGTTTGAGGAACTACTAACCAGGTAACTTGTATTTCCTGAGAAATGTTTGGCTTTGATACTAACCCATTGACTCTCTTAAGTGACCAGCATCTAATTTCTCTTTATAATATCCCCCCTGAATCACACATTAAGGTCAGGAGAGGATAGGGAATGATCACCAACTTAAGTAATTCCTGATTGTTAAACAATTTCTCCTTGTTGGACCCTTAGAAAATTTATAGAGAACAGTATGGAGAATATCCACATTGATGTAAGAGTGTACAACAACAATAACAAACAAACTTTATTAATGTTTTTACAATTAAAAGAAGAACATGTACAATTCGCATATAGTGACTGTGCTAGCTGAGGCGAGTTGTACTGTGCAGGGAGAAAAAAGAAAAAGAAGAGAATAAGTCAATTTGTAAGCTTCAACTAACAGACTATGAACAACAACAGGAAAAAACTAAATGACATACAATAATTTGCATCCAGGGATAAACATGGTTACAGAATTAATTGGTGTAATAGGTAGCTTAATAAACTAAACAAACTAAACTAAACAGGCGAAGATATTAACAATGAATAGTTACAAAGATTTATGTTAAATTATATAAATTAATTTTGGTTGGTAAATTAGGTGCTTCAATATAATCCTCCTCGCCATCTAGAGCTGAGAATAAAGCTTTGCAAATTGATTTCTTGAACGCTAGTTTTGTTAGATTACATACTTGGGATGGGAGGCAATTCCACGCTTTCATGCCAATGCTGAAGAAAGAATTCCGCTGTTGATTCAGACGTGAAAATTTAGTATGGTATTTGCCACAAGATGAAGCCCTCGTATGATATGAATGAACCGAGCTGGTCTTGACAAATTTTTCAGAGATAGCGTCTGGAGCAGAATTGTTTGAAACATCATACATAGAGTGTAAGATAGCTTCAAAATAAAGCAGATGAATGGGTAATATTTTTGAAGAAATAAAGAAACGAATAGCATGAGTTCTTGGGATTAAAAAATAATCATACGTAATGCACATTTCTGATAAGTAACAGTAGTTTATTAGATTCGCCGACAGGCAGGGACACCG